GCTAATATTTACGACTACCGAACACTTCATATTTCTTTCACTTTCACAGTTCTATTCATGCAATCTTTGCGATTTTTGGGACCCTACCCTTAACTTTTGTGGACCCATATTTGCTTATAAGCGTTGCTAGGTAATACTTATTTTCAACGTGACTTTTCTTTTGAGTTTTTCTTTTCTAGTTTCTTTTGCAAGAAGCCTAATTATTCTTTTGTTTCTTGTTGTCAATTGCGAGAAATATTGTCATATATATACAGGGTCGTTTATTTACATTAACGCCACCGAAACCATTGGGAAATGTCAGTAAACAACCTCTTTCCCGAATCTCTTTACATTTCTAATTACGTAGGTAGTGAGACATAACAAACCATTGTCAAGAAAAAAATTCGAGAGCCATACAAAATACGCCCTAATCAGCGGTTTTTTTCCGCATATGAATGATAACGTTCGAAGTATGGCGGTATAGTACGATATCAACATAAATATACACATTAGTGGAGCCATTCTCGCTAATATCGTGCTCCGCTGACAACTACCGGCATGGAACGATCACGACATTACACACAATAGGATTCCGTAATGTGATCTCATTTATTTCATGTCTAGTCTAATAACTCAACGGCTTCTATATTCAAGGTTATTTTCCGCGAATAATAGATTATTCTGTTTTTGTTCTGGACGTAGTTAGGGAGAGTAGGTGTTAACTTTTTTTGAGTGGGTTTTGAGTTTTTTGTTGAGAGTGTCTTAGGATCCTATATTTAGAATTTATAAAGAAAATTCTTAAATGACTTTTCCATTTCTGTGTAGTGGTGTATTATACCTAGCTACCTACTTATATTTATCGCCTTATAGGAGGTAACCACTAAGCTTAATTTTATTATGGCATTGGCACTGCTATCGTATCTGATAACTATGTAGATTAAATTAAATGAAACCTTCATACTCTTTAGATTATTTTTCAGTGGGTATTTAATTATCCTCATAACACGAGTAAAACCGTTAGCAAAAGCTAGTACATATAAATAAAACCATTATAAAATTAACCAAAGCAAAGTTGGTTGGTAACCTTTTGAGTAAAGATAAATTTAATCAAAACTAAATAGAATAACAGTGGCCTTAGGGAATGGCCTCAATTTTCTTGTAACAAGAATATTAAAAGATGGGGTTGGATTCTATGAGGAATTGAAGATCACGGGTTTATTCGCTGAAGAAGTAGGCAGGAGAATAAAGTTAGTCTTATTATTATTTTTTATGTGGGCTCGACTTATAATTGATTTACGTTGTAAAGATTTATTAGCAACTTAATAAGATACATTTGACTAAAGTTTTGGTCATTTCAACATTATTAAGTAGGAATTTCATTGCCACTTGATATGTATGGTTTAGATTTAACATGACTTAACTTCATAAAATATTATAATGATAATAATAACATTGGATTCAGCAGTCATTGTGCCGATATTCGTATCATTACTAAAAGCCTCGACCAACACCTGAGCAGGCTAGCGTTAGATGATTGGGTCAAGGGCCTGATGCAAAAAGCAGTACTTCTAGATACGGCGAGTATAGTCGTGAAATTCTCTCTGGAGCCCTGACTACCGGTAGCTTAGATTTCTTCCGTTACTGGTGGGCTAGTGCATTTTATATTTTTTTTTATAATCAAATATTAAAAAATATATAAGTCAAGTATAAAAATAAATAAATCAAATAATAACTAATATTACATTATTTAAATTAATGCCAATGTTATCTGTCCACGGTTGACATAATGTCTCTTACAAAAAGAACAAATTGACTAGGCGACGCAAATCACTCTTTTAACGTGAATCGGGTGGAGGGGAAATGAAGCGAGGAATTGGGCTTCCTAAAGATGTCCTCTTTGAGTCATCCCTTACACTTACAGCCCTTTGTGTTAGGAACTAAAAAAGCGGAAGAACGCTGAACAAACTTCAGAAGGAATATTCTATACCAAAATAAGAAAACAAATAATATGGACAGAAAATAAACATAATTCTTCGTATTTCATTTGAAATAGAACCTAATACAAAATGAATTCGCGTTCGAATCGACGAAAGCCAATTAGATTTTTATCTTTTCCGGGAAAAGTATTACACAAAAGACTACATTGGGGAAGCGATTTCAACGAAAATTATGTACTAATATTGACATTTATAGCAGAAAACACGTGCAAATGGAAATCCATTCATTTTGCTACACAGCCATAAAATCATTTTAACCACCTGCACTCGCATAGTTGCAAATTAAACCGTAATATCAAAAAACTGGGACAAATTAAACGCGCCGTTAATGAAAAAGATATTAAAAAAGTAGTTCAAATCTCATAAAAGCTTCGTAATTTACGTTACAAAGAGCGTTGCTATTATTAAATTGTCATTTACATTGGCGAAGCGGCGAACCCTTTTTGCACTTGTGCAGTGGGCTGCACAAACACTAACGACTTGAATATTGCCGCAGAATCTTCCCAGGATTGCGGCATTTGCATGCTAACAAGCACTGTTTCGTTTCTTTATTAATTGCTCAGCTGCACAGCCAGAGTACTTAGTAGGCGAACTTGTGGGACGTGTGAGTCAAAATAGAATTTGAAGAAAATTAATAAACATTCAATGTTACCCAATAATTTCACCAATATGTAGGAAAAGAGAAAATATTATTTCTGTTACTACGTAATTAGGTTTTCATTTCAGTGTATGAAACATTATTTGCTTGTTTGTTACTGACTTTCAAATTAATGATGGCAATACATTAGATCGCATCTTTGTTTATGTATTGAATATTTTCGCAGGCGCTATCTTAAATATAACTAGAAAACTTGAAGTTTAGTACAGTTTAAAATCCACAAGACATACTTCAATTCAGTTAAATAAATATTCAATTATTAATAACATTTAGATAAATAAATCGTTCATACATTGACTGCACTATATCAATGTTTAGTCAGCAAACCTCAATTAAAATGTATGATATCCCAATAAATATATCTGTTTCAAATTGCAATAACAAGGTGTGTTGTGTTCCAACGCTTTTGTTATCATTCGCCCGTTTTCAACCTCACATGGGCCGCCGGACAAAGAAGATTATTTTTATTGCACTTCAAAAGGTGCAACGGACCGAATATGTGTGGAATTGAGAGTAAAATCGATATGCCGGGGCCTGTATTTTCACTAGCCAACGGATCTAGGAGAATGGATTCCATACCAGGTTTACGTGGTGTAGATAAGGATTAAAATACTAGTTTAAGTGGAAATCCCTGCGAGAATCCGGTTTATAACGGATTCTATTCGTATTCGAATTTATTTGAATTTGTTTGAATATGTATATGGGGAGCATTTTTTTCATATGTAGATATCATTGTTTTTTTTTACTATTTTATATTTTATCACAAGAATTTTCAAATCTGCCTCATTGGCCGAGTGGTCGTAAGTACGATTTCCGGGTCGGGCAAAGTAATACCTACTGGGTTTTTAAGAAGAATCTCAGTGATAGCACGGAGTCTGGAAATGTGCCCGGTATCCATATACCGGGCACATTTCCATTCCTATTGCCATCAATAGGCTCACCCCTTATTACATAAGACTTATAACATAAATAGTGAAAAGTGGGTGTTACATTACACAGTGGCATTAAGTGCCGCAATGTGCACTTCTTCGTACCCCTTCGGGGATAAAAAGGCGTGATGTTAAGTTATGTAAATTTTAAATAAGAATAAGATATTAGATCTTTACCTAGAGTTCAATGTCTTGTTTTTTAGTTGGTTTTCCTAAAGATTAAGATAAAGAAAGAGAAAGATAAAGATTTCTTAAAGTATTCGCACTGAAAAATAATTTGCAAAAATGCACCCGCAATACAAGAAAGCATGTCACACAAGCCTTTTCAAATAGTCATATTTTTGAATAACAATAAAACTAAAGTGTTCACAAACTGTCGCCGTCACCGTTGCCCTATTTATCACAACCTACAAACAGTTTGCTTAGCTGACAAATTACGAAACATTAAAATTAATTTATGTAGGTACAAATATTAATTTGTGACACTAACACCCTTGTCAGACACACAACCTTGGGTCCTTTCCGTTGGGATGAACGCCTTGTGGTGGACAAAGCCGGAGTAAGGAAAGGGGCTACCATACCATTCACACGAATTTCTCTCGAAATCCCCTCTGTCATATAAAGTGCACTATTATTCATACACTGGTTACTACCCTAGTTGAACTGACGTAGATCTCTAGTATGATAAATCGAGAATTCCTACGGACACGCTTTTTAAATTAGATAGATTTTATTTTGTGTTGAAAAAGCGAAGATAGGAGAGATAGAAAATGTTCCGTTTATGACGAAATCCCTTCATACTTTTAATTTAAGATTTTTCGTGGTGACCCTCATAATTTCTATTAAAACTCAGACAAGTAATTAAAAGTTATTAGATATGACATATCAAGAATAGTTTCCAATAAATAAGTATGACTGCTAATAAGAAAGTAATGGATAGTTTTTTGGTATTAGAGTATGTGTAATTTTCCGAAACATTGAGCATTACTCACATTGCGCCTACTACTCAGCCCTAGCTTCACAACTACAAAAAACTAACATAAAACCTAAACTTACACTACGAAACGTAACTTATCGAGTTCGTAAAAACTACAGCCTTTTACAAATGTACAGGCTTTTAGAAGAATAATAGGTCTCATTTGTATTTAGGATCTCCTGCTTTTTGTTCTACATAAACGACGCGGGAAAGGGCCGGGCTTAATTCACTAAAATTGTTACTCCTCATTCCCCTTTGTTAGAACATAATGGTATACAAACGAAAACTTTGGCTAAAACTACGACAATTTGTTGCGGTTTCTGGTTACCGGTTTCATCTGTGTGTAAAAAGGGATTGCTGTAAGTACTTATTTTTGCTTGTAAATGGGTAATGTCAAAATATTTTTTCTGAGTAAATGGGTAAATATGATATCGACGGCGAAGTGCCAATAACTCCTAAGTTACAAAATACAAATTTTACAGAAACGGAAAAAAACGTTTAATTTCTTGGTAAATTAAAAATTTGTAAATACATGTATTAATTTAGAATAATAATAATCTATCCTTTATATACCATGCTGAATTGGTACATTTTACGATAGTTTAGTAGGTATTCGGATAGATAGGAGGTATTAACTTTGTACTTATTCATTTTATGTGATAATATTGTGATATTTAGAAGATATTGAAATGAACAAAACGCCGAATTAATCAGAATCTTTTTAATTTGTGACTTATTAGAAAACAAATAACAAAAATAACGTAAAAAACATTTTTTTTTCTTTTATAAAAACAATTTTAAAAATGTAGCTGCTTTAGTTTACTAATTAAAAGTCATCAAAATCAGTCAAATTAAGCAGATGAACAGATTATTCATGAGACAAATTGTCATAAAATAAGTGACAATCTTTTGGCAAGACTTCTTTTAATTGTTGAAGGTGATTAAATTTGGTAGAAGCTATGGGAATTGGTGCAACATGTAAAGGTGAGTACGCGACAGAGTTCAGTTTTCTCGGTCTAACAGGTAACTCTGTCCAATCATCATCAAAGTTAATTTTATAATAAATAGTGCCATCTGGTCTATACTGAATGACTCTCAGATCAACAACTACAGGATCGCCTGCTTTTCGACCGGGTCTTATGGTGCTGTATCTCCAATTTGTTTTATCATTATAATTTTTAACAAAATCGAAGTTAATTTGAACTGCTTCATAAGGAAAGGGATTTACTCGTGCCTCCTTCGTTACTGTTATGTAGTCACTAGGAAGATGTATCTCCCTGTTTTTCAGCTTCCTTTCGATCGCAGCATGAACTGAGTCGCATTCCATCTGTGTGTGTCCAGGCTCTAAGTACTTCTGTGTGATAGTCACGTCATGTTCAACACTAATATTTAACAAGGCATTCGCCATTATATTATTCCTATTTTGATAGGTGCATCCATCTGAAAAAATGACTATAGGCAATCCTTTAGGCAAGCAATATCTCAAGATGTAATCGGACACAAATGATGTGAAAGTACTAGCAGTAAGATCTGCGCATGTCTCATCAAACCAATAACAGGAGGCTTGGTGAGTGACCAGGTCATACATTGTAAAGTTATGACACGTAAGCTTTGTCTTAAAGTATAATGCGCTAGCTGTTAGATAAGGGCACACTTTAACAGACTCCAAATCCATGGACAACAAAATTAACTCTCCAGATGTAGCCTTCTTTTTGTCTGTTTCCTTCTCTTGCCTCGCTCTATTTTTACGTTTAATGTGTTGTTCATAATCAAAAGTAGTAACATTCCCTACTGCATGGCCACAGCAGGTATCGCACATGTCCTTTTTTAAGGTGTATAAGGACAGATTTTTCTCGTGAAACAATTTCTCGAAAGTAAAGCGAGAAAGCACAGGCTCTTCCTTTTCCGTACAATGTTCTTTGTACTGTTTATATAAATCGCTCAGAGAACGGTAAACAGGTTCTAAATACAACTTTGACGTTTCCTTCCTGGCATAGTGAGATGGTAACTTGGGAATATTGTCTAAAAAGTTGCGTGCGGTAAGAAGCTTCTGCTGTGTTCCAGATCGTGGTGTTCTGCTCCTCATTGTATTTTGAATTTCTTGACAAGGAATTACTCTATCACGCGATTTTTTGACCCAAGATTGGACTGTGTATGACCCCAGACAAAGAGTATTTAAAAATGTTGTTCTGCAAACCTGTAAATTTTGGCCTTCGTTCATTGGCAAAAAGTAATCGAAAGTACCTTCACGTCTCGATCCCTGATCATTTGTTTTGCGTGCCGTACCCTTACGGTTTACAAGTCCGACTACATACACTTTGCGCTGGTCCCAGTTAAGATTTTTCCAAAAGTTGGTGTGTATTTCTTGTCGTCTTTCATTTTCAAATCTTTCACAATTTCGTACCTTACTCTTTCTGCAAAACTGCGAGTTGCACCTATCACCTAATTTTCTGGCAGGTCTAATTTTGTCTTGTTTTAGTTTTCTATCCTTTGGTTTAGTGTATCCCAAATATTCTTCTCCTAACATGCGAAGTTTCTTATTTTTTAATTTCTTCCAGTTACCCGGGTCACGATTAGCAAGGCGTTTTCTGCCTTCGTTTGGATTTCCATGGTAAATGCCTGACGACGTGGATGGTTCATCTAAAAGTAACCCTGGCCCTGAGCTAGAACTGTTTGAATCTTGATCATTACCAGGACTAGGACAGTAAGTTACATCACTATCAATGCCAGAATAGTCACCATCATAGGAACACGTTTCACTTATTAGGTTATTAGGTTCCGGTTCGCATCGTCTTTCATAGTGTACTGTAATTGTAGGTGGCAGCGAAGAACAACGTCGGCGAGTCATAAAACTGTTAACCGTAATGTTTGAAAATGAATTCGATCTAGTAATGTTACATTTCTGCTTATTTGTTTGGTAATCATTGCAGTGTAATGTTCTGATTTCTTGTGTCACTTGATCAAGCGTATCTGAAAAGATATCAAAACTTAGTATGCGTTTCAGAATTTGCTAACACAGAAATCACAACTCACTAGGTAGATAGGTAAAAAAAACAACTTACCTGAGTTGCATGAAGCAGTAGCTGGGGGCTGATTATTCTCCTCGTGGCCTTTCAATATATTCAACATCTTTCTTGCTCGTACTCCCTGATAATGCTTTGTCATCCGCGACATTTTGCTAAAACCATAAAAGAAAATACCTCCTAAATGCATTGATTCATCAAACAACCAAGTAAAAACGTAGAAGAAATACATCCTATCTACAACGAAAAACTCACAATGTTTAATTATCATCATTAAATCAACTAAATATTATCACAAATAACATGAAATAACTTGTATTTCTTACCTGTAGTTCTTTACAACTCGTCAATCCGTGAATTATATCAGAAACACAATGTTTTAACTATTGTACCTACGAGTAAACTAACAAAACAAACACGTGCTAACACGAATCGCCCCAAACTGCCTGCTCGACTTTATAATACCTCCCCCTCGTCTCTTCTGCCGCCCCGGGCTCGCCGCGCCAACTTCATGTCAATCGAAAACAACCAACGAACACGCATAGACGTGTCCCGGAAAAGTTAGGAGGTAATGCCATAAAATAGACACGATGTTTAACTTGAGAGGTATTTCCACATTTCAATTTAATGCTTTTGCAACAAAAAATACGCTTAGGAGGTTTCATAAAAACATGCGAATAACGCCTTTAAATTCAAAACGCTAAAAAAGTGAATTTCGTGAAAATTGTTAGTTAGGAGTAATTGGCACTTCGCCGTCGATATTTGTTTTTGATTGATTTTACTATATTTTTAGAGGTACTAATTGTAGCTTTTGTAGTTCGCACAATGCCTTCCCCTGTATGTAGCCGCACACGACGCCGAGGTCCATGCCGCGTGGAAGTGGACTGTATGAGCTTGTGACATCGTTTCGGAAGTCAAGGTATTTTACGTAGAGGAGTAGCGAGGGGCGGCGGCGGCCGAGCGTTGCGTCAGTCTGCGCGGCGCTCTCCTGGACCAAACGTCTGGCAATAATGTGCGAGTGTGTGTACAAGTACAAACGTTGGAGTGTTCGGTTATTAACGATATGATATCTATAGACTTGTATGGGCGCGCGGACGCGGCCCGGGGCCCAGGCCTCTCATTTGAATTGTTAAAAATAAATAATTATTATATCAATAAATTTTTTATTGTAAACTAATCTGAACTTTAATTTTTGTATTTGTCTTGTAAAAATATATTAAGTAAATGGAATTCTTATTTATCAAGATAGTCTTACATTTTATCAGTAATTGCTTATATTTATACAACAGCTCATAAATAATTTAATTTTGCCACAAGCCACAAGAGTCAAATACTAAACCACTAGAAATAACTTAACACTTTAATATCAGTAATAACAGTAGACTCTCTTATAAACTCAAGTAAAGCTGGTGACTATAAGTTGGCGGTGCCGGACTTCTCCACCAGCTCCAGCAGTGTGTGTAGTGAGGTGTCAAACAGTTCGCACCGGATGGGCATCTCCAGCGAGTAGAATGGGTTCTTGAGGGCGTAGTCTGAATACAGTTCATAGATCCTCTTGAGAACTACTTCTGCACCTTGCATGTTGGGGTCTGTTACTATAATGAACTTTACACCTGTAAACGGACCGACAATTATACTTTACTGGGGGTTATTATGACATCCTAAAGTCAGACTGGTTCCATTGAGGGAAAGGAACGGAGCTATACAAGTCGCCTAGTGAGATCTCATTCCCTCAGCGGAACCCCTCTGGCTTTATGATGTCATAATAAGCCATCTGTACTGGAAAACATTTGTCTATCAAAATAGCTTTGAAATGAAATTAATTTATTCTGTAAATAGGATACAATATCTAGCACTTTTACATGTCATTTATAAGAAGTAGATGAAGCTGGTGAACATTATCAGCTCAAAGTCCTTTAAAACCTTATATTTGCAATAATATGAAGTATCTCACAGCTAGACAATTTATTCACATCAAACAAATCAACCAAATGATTTGCCAGTAACAAAACCATAGCTTGAATTTAAATTGGCCAACACCATGTATCGAGGCTATGGTAAAACTCTAATAAAATATTAATTTTAATAGTAGTATGGCATTGGCTAAATGCATCTTATTTCTACATTGAACAGCTGGTATGAGTGCTCGAGTGAGTGCTTTGACTGTACATAATAGCATACAGTATACAGCTCATATGGGTAAGTTATACTGTAAGTAAGTTGTACTTGGGGTATGAAATACAACTTTCTTATCCTAGTGATATTGTTACCTGTTAATGTTTGGAAGCAGGACAGCTTGAATGTGTCTGCTGTGAGTGACTCAATACCGGAGCACTTGGGAACAGGACTCAGTTGACTGGCTAGAGCAAAGAGTGGGTAGAACATGCTGGCTAGTACTATCTTCTCATTTGTGGTGGCTCGGGCTCTGCCAAACTTTAAACTTAGTGGATAATTTTCCTGAAAATTTAATAATTCTTTTAACAGGTAGTTCATCATTGTTGTATTTGTATGGGCCAATTATTAACTCGTTGAGTACCGTCATTATAGACACAATTATAGAATAATAGGTTGCGGTCACCGGTGACCGCTTGGTGTTTGACAGGTTTATAGGTTCCAGATACTTTTGACAATTGGGTTACAAAATAAACACACAAGATCCCGAAGTTAGGATTAAACTCTGTTGAGTTTATTTAGACCTCAGTGGTCAAAGGAAATAAAAATTTATGAAATGTTTACCTTAGTTTCTATTATATCAAACACATCTCTGCCATCCTCTGTAGTGCGCCCATTTACTGGAGTACCATTGACCGACAGTAGTACATGTCCAACTGTAAAATATATACCACCGTATATAAATATATACATATTAGGTGACCCACAATAATCTAAAAATGTACCTTCTTGATTGACTTTATTTTATGTAGGAGAACATTATCTAAAGCAAACGGTTCATGCACGCCCATTAGGGTCTTGAATACATACCGTTTATCCCATCTCGTTGTCCAAAAGCAACGATAACTTTCTTATTTTCATACTGCAATTTGATGTCCAATGGGAAACCGAATGTTTTCTCCGCTTCCACTCGTGGGATATTATGGTCATAGTTAAAAATTAGACCACCGGACTTGCTTACTATATACACACCATATATGACCATTATTACGTTGTGTACCTAATTAATTTATTTTTATTTTAAAGATCAATAACAAAATATCAACATTCGATTCACTCAACACCCACCGTGACTGTTCGAAAACGGTAATTTGTCATTTTGTTTTTCAATTTGTCAAAAATTATATCCATTTGTTAGTATCAAGTTTCGTTTATTCACGATTTGTCGTTGTTAATTATGAATACAAATATTAGAGCACAATTTAAGTAATCTTTCAATATATTTTAACACATTTTTTGTGATGTTACTAATTTTATTTTTGTAATCACACATAATATGTACCTTTTATGTATCATGTTTTCAAACGGACTCAACGTCAAAATGTGACATTTGTATAATTTTACCTGTGCTTAGTTTTGACGTGACAAATTGTTTGGTACGGTATTGCCTGATTTTTTTAAGAATTTAACAGATCAAATCAAATTCATTGGAATTAAAAAATGATTCATTTTAAAGTCCTTTTTAAAAATAAGTGTTTGATAGATAAAAAATATCTTTATAAGCAAGTTTTAAAATGTATCGTAATTTTAAGGAATGTAGAGATGATCAGATGAGAGTCTTCTCTTCTAAGTATTTATTTCAATAGGGCAACACCACAATCTTCCTTGTAGGGTTTTTTTTAAAGGGGGAAAATCATTGAATGACCACTGCCGCCTGGGTGAGGCGGGAGGGAGTGTCAGACCCTTACTGACTAAAAACCACCCCGTTCCTTCTTCTGCACGTCGAGTCGGAGCCCCGGTTACCCGTTAGGTTCTCCGCGACCCGTTAGATTCTCAGGAATGAGCATTATTTACATATTCACAACGTTTATTCAAGTCAGACGATCTCCAATCCGTTAGCCAATCGTAGAGATTATGAGTAACCACTCTTATGTAGAGGAGGCGCATAGACAGCAGTGGTCTAGTAGACTGTCACGAGAAAGTACGCATTCACAAGTACCTATTATACATAACACCGAAACTTTTTGGGAATTGAACGCGTTGCGAAGAACGCGGTTGGCCAGTTGCTGCACCAACCATGTGGTCGAACTGTCGGAGTAGATTGCATCAATTTATTATATTAATTAATATTATTTACATATATTTATTTAAAATATTTTACAAATTACATTTTTAAATACTACTTACAAAATAAAAAATAATATTTAAAAATGTAAAAAATAGGAGTCGACCAGTAGCGGGAGCAGGGTCCGGTGGTTAGGGCTACAAAGACAGAATACGTGCCGTTTCTAGGAGAACTGCCTTCTGTAAAGTTCTGTATCAGGCTCTTGATCCATCCACCTAACGTCAGCCTCCTGAGATGGATTTTTTTTTTCTGTAGCCTTCTTTTTGTCTGTTTCCTTCTCTTGCCTCGCTCTATTTTTACGTTTAATGTGTTGTTCATAATCAAAAGTAGTAACATTCCCTACTGCATGGCCACAGCAGGTATCGCACATGTCCTTTTTTAAGGTGTATAAGGACAGATTTTTCTCGTGAAACAATTTCTCGAAAGTAAAGCGAGAAAGCACAGGCTCTTCCTTTTCCGTACAATGTTCTTTGTACTGTTTATATAAATCGCTCAGAGAACGGTAAACAGGTTCTAAATACAACTTTGACGTTTCCTTCCTGGCATAGTGAGATGGTAACTTGGGAATATTGTCTAAAAAGTTGCGTGCGGTAAGAAGCTTCTGCTGTGTTCCAGATCGTGGTGTTCTGCTCCTCATTGTATTTTGAATTTCTTGACAAGGAATTACTCTATCACGCGATTTTTTGACCCAAGATTGGACTGTGTATGACCCCAGACAAAGAGTATTTAAAAATGTTGTTCTGCAAACCTGTAAATTTTGGCCTTCGTTCATTGGCAAAAAGTAATCGAAAGTACCTTCACGTCTCGATCCCTGATCATTTGTTTTGCGTGCCGTACCCTTACGGTTTACAAGTCCGACTACATACACTTTGCGCTGGTCCCAGTTAAGATTTTTCCAAAAGTTGGTGTGTATTTCTTGTCGTCTTTCATTTTCAAATCTTTCACAATTTCGTACCTTACTCTTTCTGCAAAACTGCGAGTTGCACCTATCACCTAATTTTCTGGCAGGTCTAATTTTGTCTTGTTTTAGTTTTCTATCCTTTGGTTTAGTGTATCCCAAATATTCTTCTCCTAACATGCGAAGTTTCTTATTTTTTAATTTCTTCCAGTTACCCGGGTCACGATTAGCAAGGCGTTTTCTGCCTTCGTTTGGATTTCCATGGTAAATGCCTGACGACGTGGATGGTTCATCTAAAAGTAACCCTGGCCCTGAGCTAGAACTGTTTGAATCTTGATCATTACCAGGACTAGGACAGTAAGTTACATCACTATCAATGCCAGAATAGTCACCATCATAGGAACACGTTTCACTTATTAGGTTATTAGGTTCCGGTTCGCATCGTCTTTCATAGTGTACTGTAATTGTAGGTGGCAGCGAAGAACAACGTCGGCGAGTCATAAAACTGTTAACCGTAATGTTTGAAAATGAATTCGATCTAGTAATGTTACATTTCTGCTTATTTGTTTGGTAATCATTGCAGTGTAATGTTCTGATTTCTTGTGTCACTTGATCAAGCGTATCTGAAAAGATATCAAAACTTAGTATGCGTTTCAGAATTTGCTAACACAGAAATCACAACTCACTAGGTAGATAGGTAAAAAAAACAACTTACCTGAGTTGCATGAAGCAGTAGCTGGGGGCTGATTATTCTCCTCGTGGCCTTTCAATATATTCAACATCTTTCTTGCTCGTACTCCCTGATAATGCTTTGTCATCCGCGACATTTTGCTAAAACCATAAAAGAAAATACCTCCTAAATGCATTGATTCATCAAACAACCAAGTAAAAACGTAGAAGAAATACATCCTATCTACAACGAAAAACTCACAATGTTTAATTATCATCATTAAATCAACTAAATATTATCACAAATAACATGAAATAACTTGTATTTCTTACCTGTAGTTCTTTACAACTCGTCAATCCGTGAATTATATCAGAAACACAATGTTTTAACTATTGTACCTACGAGTAAACTAACAAAACAAACACGTGCTAACACGAATCGCCCCAAACTGCCTGCTCGACTTTATAATACCTCCCCCTCGTCTCTTCTGCCGCCCCGGGCTCGCCGCGCCAACTTCATGTCAATCGAAAACAACCAACGAACACGCATAGACGTGTCCCGGAAAAGTTAGGAGGTAATGCCATAAAATAGACACGATGTTTAACTTGAGAGGTATTTCCACATTTCAATTTAATGCTTTTGCAACAAAAAATACGCTTAGGAGGTTTCATAAAAACATGCGAATAACGCCTTTAAATTCAAAACGCTAAAAAAGTGAATTTCGTGAAAATTGTTAGTTAGGAGTAATTGGCACTTCGCCGTCGATATGTGCCCTTGTAACCTTTTGTACGTGTAGATTTGCTTAGTAGATAACGAAGCAACTTGTTTAGCCAAGTAACACTTAAAAAATATTAGCAATTGTGTGAAAAATACTATTTTAACAACATTCGGTGTTAAAGAGCCTTATTGATTATAAAAATTAAAGTGTTCATAGATTTTAGTTCAGTTGCCATACCTAAGATTGTTAAAACTATGTTTGTAAGAATATTGTATTAAAAATTTTTAGCAATAAAAGACATTATAGACCATTTTGATGTATGTTTATGCATGTCACAACGGACCCCAAAAATCACATCACATGTTATAACCGCCCTTGGTATGTGGCCGGTTGTGACACTTTACCATTTAAAAAAATATATTTAATGAGTAATACGATGTATTACGAAACAATACATTAGTGTTTTTACGTCGTACACTAATATACAAATGCGATACAAGTTCCTTTACTGGGAGCTAATTAGTAAAATAACAAAATTATTGGTGATCAAACAAAAATTGGCTCAACTGTACCCAGTATACCCTACTTTAAGATATTTTTATGGCATAAGTTTTTTTATGGCACAAGCCGGTAAAAGCGCAGACGAATCATGATGGTAAGCAATTATCGTCGCTCTTGGACACCTTGAACACCAGAGGCGTGTTACAAGTATATTACCAGCCTTTTCGGGATTAGGAATTTGATAAATGTTGGGGATTGGGCCTCCGATATTATCATAGATATTATCATGTTTTATTTTTCTCAATACGTAATTATTTTCGTAGTTTCAACTGAATTATTTTTTGCCGAAGTGTATTAGTTCCTCAAAATTATTAACTTATTCAAGAAAAATAACATGAAATGATTTTTAAAAACTTCCTTTGAAAGCACAATGACCGAAAAAAACTGCACATTTTCTACACAACCGTATTTCAAAGACGCTCGCTTATGAAACGGTCGGAAGAAAGAAAAGGTGACGTTATTGCAAGTTTGATTAAAGAGGGAGAGAGACAACTATATGCTTGTCTTGTACCCCGCAAAAATATTACCGCTAACACTTTTCGGAATTCAACACTCATTTCGGTATAAACGCTAAAATGAATTTTGTGCACTCACACCGTGGTTGGTTTTAATGAAATATTTTTCGTTACCGTGCCCCTCTTTGAAGGATGATTTTTCTGAAACTGACGGGTGCGGGTGCTGTACCTATCTTTTTATATTACGTACTATTTTAAATTAAAAACTAACCAAATGTACCCATCTGTGTGCCATATGAATTTAAAAATGTCAGCTACATTTTCCTTTGTAGCAGTACTCTTTACATTGTAGTGATTAAATGCACTCTATTTTACCAGAAGAGGGAGGGCCATAAAGGGTTAATTCCCATGAAATATTTATTGATTTTAACATTTGACTTGAACTAAACAGTCAGTATAAATATAGTGTATTGACTACCAATAGAGGCATTCCACTAAAAGCACTTGTACTGTCTCAGAACAAAAAACCTGCCAAGATAATTCCAGCAAAACTTTTTTAAAATGTCCTAAATTTAAGTCTGACCTTTCTTTCGTAGTGAGTGGGTACTCGAACTGAGTAAACACTTAAATCATGTCCAGACAGCCCCTTGTGTACCTGTCAACCTTTATCGGCAGGCCTGACATCCCTTTATTTTATGCTAAAGCGTATAAAAACGGAAAATATTCACGTCGACAGAAAAAATCCGAAGCGGCTCGTTACAGGACATCACGTATAACTATGTAGTTGTTTATTTTATGCCAGAAATTGCATTTTTTGGAAATATCTTAGATGATTAGTACATAGTATCGAACCTACAGTCAAAATTATCATTAATTTCGGATAGTAGTCACTGTAAAAATAGTACAGTTCTACTATTGTCACAGTAATGTCGTGGTGCCCCGGAGGTTTAAGATGCCAGCTTTTCATTCTCATAAGGGTGCTGGTTCGAAACATATCAATGCCAAGTACCAATGTCACTTTTTCTAAATTATACTTTTTGAGATAAATTAGATAGACAAACGGTGAAGGAAAACATGGAGAGGAAACCTGAACTTATAATTTCTAATCTTAGATTGAACTCGCCAACTCGCATTCAGCAAGCGTGGTGAAATAATGCTCAAACCTTCTCCGTGTAAAAAGAGGTTTAGCTCAGCAGTGGGGAATAATAGGCCGTTGATGATTATCACAGTAATTTTTCGAGTGATGCAAACGAGCATGATTTCGGTTTATGAAAAAAATCATGATCTAAGTAATAATATCAAAAACTTATTTCATTCTAAGACTACGAGGCAGCTTCACAATAACAACATAAAACAAATAGTTATCTCCAATAACATTTCATTCGACGGTGTCATCACCGAACTGAAGACTGCAAGCATCCCAATTATGTGAGGGCGAGTGTTGCTTGATCTTCCTACAAACTTCAAAGCAACCTTAAAGTTGACCTGTAGTTGTTGTTAGCACTTACTTAATTGACTTTAGACGAGAATAATAAACGGGTGAGTAACTATGAGATTCTATATAACTTTAGACGTAGGTTTGTATAGATAGCACAGGTGAAGAATCATTGTAATGTTTACTTTAGAGAAATTATTGCGAAGTTTGTTACAATAACAATAATATTTCAATTGATTTCGGAATTCTCTATAATTTCGTTTACACGTGTCTATAAGGTAGTACTTACAAGTTTTACTACTCTAATCTGTCAAATTGATTCAATGGATTTTCGACTTTATTACATTATGTTGAAGATGTTATAGACAGAAAAGATTGGGATGACCTGCTGGCTACCGTACATGATAGAAGATATGTATTTGAAAGAGTAATCAAACGTATTACAACATTTGCTGTGATCGTTTGATATTATTTGTTTTATTGACAAAGGAAATAGACATCTTTAGCTAAAAAAATAGACATCTCACGGCGTGATCTTCTCCCGCACCCGCCGTGGTAGCGGAATGGAGGTGAAATTTGCAAAATTCACGAGATCGCACTTTTTGTAATAATCGCCCGATAACTTGACGGTTGATTATAATTATCGCATGACGGGCCAGCGGTTAAACAATCAGTTGAGTTCTAGCCGATCCGGGGCCGTTGCGGGACCGCGGCCGCGCCTGCTGGTGCAGCGGGAGCAGCAAACAATCGCAACTGCCGCCGGCGCGACGTGGAAAGTGCTTTGATTTTTTCATAAATATCTGTATTCTACAAAGGCTGCAGGCCAGCCTTAATGTTGCTAATCAAAACTATAGTTTTGATGTTCTATAGAACATCCTTCTACACAAGGCTCCTAATAAACTAGTAATATAACAAGGATATAGTAAATCTAATCTACATTTAATCTAATAAATCAATACACAGCAACGACGATGATACACTGCATATAATTTGTCATACAGCCACAATATTACATATTACAATCTGTAGTAATCGAATTGCGCCGTTAATTACATCCTGAGTAATCGATTAGAGCGCATTGGGTTTGTGTTGTTAATTCTATCAATTTTAATTATAGATTGTTATTATAATATTAGGTATTATTAGTTGTTATAAATACAAATAATAATCAATTGGTGTAATGGGACACTATCGTACATATTCTTAGTACCAACAAAAAACTGATAAACTAACAAAGGGATTAAAAAATACCAGTGATGTTTTTAGAATGTACTTATTTATTAATTAAAACAAACTATTCCAACAAAACTACACAAAAACATTTTAATTATTTGCCATTATTTTCATTCCAACGTTACCCTGATGGGTAAATGGTCGCTGCCCTCTATCTTGCCGTCAAGATGGCGCCTATTTGCGGCGGTGGTGGTGACAGATGACCATCAAAGAAAATAATTTACACCCGAACGTGTAGGTATGCGGTCAGACTGTTGGGGACGAGCCGCATTCCAGCGTGACCCTAAACGATAAACACGGCGCAATAGATCAACCCTTTGCATTTCTCATAGCAAAAGAAAACGGATTCGCTGAATGTTGGAATGCTGTATATATTATTGTACTATGGAATAAACGTTGTATTTATATAAATATGATTTCAAGACGAATAATTAATATCACTTTTCTTATTTGATTACGAAGAAGCGGTCTTAATGATGGTATGGTGAAATGTATTTTTTTTTATAAATTTTGCACTAATTTGATCGATGAGAAACTTTATAATAATACACTATACACTACGGGGTATAACTACTGCTGATAAAAAGGAAAGTCAAATTATACCCTTGTTATCAAAAGCTCTATGTAAAAAAACAAATGAAATATTCAACTCAAGAAGTTTCTAATCGCATAAAGGTAAAAGATATTCTTGAATCCTCATTTTGTAATTCAGAAGAGCGTGCGGCGGAGGCACAATCCGTTCCGTTGTTATCAGCGTAGCATTTGACATGTGAAAAATTCTCATCGAGATATTTCGTGTAAACTTGGCACGGTAATTCCACAACGGTGAATGCAATTTGCTTAGTTGTAACCTCTTTACCACCGTCCTAACTGTCGGGAGGGCGAACGAGGGATTTCTCATTTCAAGCTCAATTTAAAAATTTGTCTAGTATCGCTATATTATTTACTTTAATATTTCCCGCAGACATATAAACATACTTGGGTAACATTAACCTTTATTTTGTTGATACACCTCTTGGAGCTAACCTACAAGCACTTGGAAGGGTTTATATATAGTATTTTATATAAATCGCCGTTGTAACAGACATTATAAATGATAAATGAACAAAAGCGGCCTTGTTAGCATGGGTGGAACGTCCGCACGAGTTAACTTCTGACATCAGAAGGCAGGGAAATATTTTATTAAAGTCATTCGCGTGAAATATCGGAAATGCTAACGTTAAATCAGAAATGCTGAATGCCACACGCCCCATAGGTATAATAATGAACAGCAATAAACTTGGCAATAATTCTCCTAAATGTCATAGACCACACGTGTTCTACTCTATTTGGAAGGTTTAAAAGGTCCACTAAGAAAA